TATCGGCAACATTATTTTTCGTTTGTTAGCAAGTTCGTTTAGACTGAACTCGACATGAGTGACAAATTGTTGAATTCAGTCCAGACCCTCCAACAAGGCGCCAATGGCGAATCACTTATGTTATGATTCATTCATTTGTTTAACCCCATTCATTTAAAAATACACACATGGGGGTACCTTTTAGTCGTGGCGTGAAAGCTCTCTCCCTTATCCAACATGTTCATATTGGATAAAATGTCCGTATTTGTTTGACTGATGATCAAAGCTATAAGGTAGAATGAGGCACACTTTCTTACCAGATAATTGGTATCCATTTTTCCGCAACAGTACAAAGTTGTGCACTCCCAAACATTAACGTTCACCGTACGCGCAGAGAAATGGATTTATCTGAGCAAGCGTTTTGGAGAAGGAAGGAGAAGCTCAACTGTATTTAATATAGTTTGACCCCAATATGTATTTTTCCTATCTTACTAACACTAATAGAATAACAACAGCAATTTTATTGTACAGTCTTTTCAATACCTCATTGCGACGTCTAGCAGGGATTTGTGAATTATTCGGTATGTATCAGGCAACATTATAGCAATTGTAAGGCGATGCCGGAAATTACCTGTAAAAAATTATCTCGTCAATATTGACTTGCAGTTGCAATTTTTTTAAAATTAACAATCAAGATTTTGTTACAATGACCCAATTCGTAACAATAGAATGTGTCAGGCTTGCTCTTTAACATGACTGCTTGTCGGATATGTAAGAAGCAATTGCTGAAGTTACGCCGGATTCACTTCGTCGGAGATTGAAGGCTATCCGGCAACCGAAAAATTGCGTAAGATTGATGTTCATTAGTGTCTGGCGCAAATCGTAACTAATATCGATCTTGCGCAAGTTTTCGACGATGGTTGCTCTGTCGCTGACACGCTATAGCTTGTGCAGTGTTCTCATTATCTTTACCATTTCTATAAAATGGTTGATGCCCTGCACGACATTGAGATTGCTACCGGGAGACCGCATATGTTTTGTAGCTAACCTGCAGGTTCCTCTCAGTCAGAGAAAGATTTAACGCTAAACGAGCAACTTAGTTCAAAGAACTCGACTCAGAGAGTCAACAAGCTCAAATGCTTACGGTCCCTGTTTCAGGAGACCAAAAGATTGAAAGAATCACAGCACAGAGTGATCAAGAGTAGCTACCTTGTCGAGGTGTTCGCTAGACTCTTAGCGATCTCAAGACGCCTTAGGATGGCACGTGTCTGATGGTGATCAAAAAGGGAACTGACCTTTATCCGTTCGATTTTAAATAACACCTCAGACTAAGCGTGATTGATCTTGACACTACTGATCAAACTAATACATGTTAAAGATCTCGTATTTGGCGGCTGACACATGTCAGCCCTCGACAACTGAAATGGTGATTTATTATCATGTTTAATGGGATCCCATCCCTTGTGCAAAACACACAGGTTGTGTCGATTACCAGACGACATGTAAACCCGTTACAGGGGCTCTCGACGGACTTGCCACAGCTGTTCCGGCGTGGAAAGTGGTGCTGTAATCTCCCGAGGGATATACTAGCCACTGGAAATCCATGTATATTCCTACGACCCATGACAAATAGTGAGTTTATATTGCAAATTTAGGTACGCATGGTGCACTGCTTGTGTAACGCATGAGAAGCACGTCAAACGGTGGAATATGTGTAGAACTTTCGTGCTACGGCATCGGTAAGTCGCTCGGTCATCTGACTGCCTGTCCCGTTTCTTCACAACTTATGTGTTTCCTTCCATGCTCAGCAACGTGTATGCTGCTTCCGTATAAGTTAAGGTGAGTGATATAAAGAGCGACAATAGCAGCAAGACATCCGCACTTAGTGACGTGTCCATTTACGTAATTCCAGACAAAGTTACAGGCTCCAATATGGACGCCGATGGCCATTGAATTCGCCATCATGTACCGTTACGGACGCTAATGCGTGATGTTATTTTTCATATTAAGCAATATGAGCGCAATCATTTGAGTCGAGTCCTGTAAAATCTCATTTTGTCATGCTACCGAGCTTTTCCTTTCATATATTCCGTTTGTGCCTGCAATAATACATGCGCTGTTGATTGATTGGCGACCCGGAAAGCAATCGTAGTCGATGTGGCACATAGTTGATGCCTTCGATAGCTAAACTCTCTTTATGCATTATCATTACTAGAAGGAGCAGAAGGCGTGTAAGCTGGCGCTACGATTTATATGGAAATGCTTTGTCGTGGTAATGAAAGAGGAATTAATCGAGTCATATCGGTCAACGTTTTTAACACACTGTAGACACGAAAGTAAGAGAGTTAATGACTATCTTTCCGTAACGTGCAACGTGATCTCTGCACCATCGCTGTTGTCGTATTCATCACCTATATTTGTAAACATTGTCGGGGCCTCCTGCTTTACGGACACATGTAAATATCATTTACGCTGGTGCGAGGATACGGCTTTGTGCACCGCCTCCGTGACAAAAGCATATGTATTTTTGTCCCGATAGTCATTCAGTTGACGATATCGGTGATAAAGCGCATGCTACCAAGACCGAGCTACTGCGTGTAGTTCCGCAGCCTGGCGTAAAATCTCGACGGAATGTCGTCAGGCAGCTCGCCACGAAGCGAGGTTTCTTTAAAAGCGAGATGATTGGATCAGTTGCGTACGCGCATTTTTGTACGATTCGGAACTCTAGGCGGTCCGTTCTTTTCTTCGTCAGCACACTTTATGGCACTTCGACGTGGAGAGCGGCTATGTTGAAGACATTGGTAGGTCAATTTCCGGTTTCTTAAGGACCATAACTCGATAGGTATAGACAGTTTGATACGTCCCAGGTGCGCCACAGTAGGTTCTGTCTGACAAATTGACTAGGGGTGGCGAGCATCGATAGACCACGGCTGACCCAACTTTACCTAGTGGTGCACTGATGTATTCCTTTCGCGGTGATCGCATCGACTGCTTGGATTCAAGTGCGCTGTGTAAAGAGTCTTTCGATTAAATGAGGTCGAAAAAGCTGACGCCGACTTCTACGAATATTGCCGCTTCTATTCATCCCGACGGCCTGACAACATGAAGCTGTGCGCCAATCGACCATGACAAAGACTCACCAGCTATCGCCTACTGGATTTCAACACCAGCCAAAGCTGACAATCGACGTGGTAAAGTCTCGCCTTTTGCGGTCGAACCGATGGGAAGGAACTTATCAGTGTCCGACCGATTCTTCCCTCGTTAATTTTACAAACCGCAAATGCACGTAATGAAGGCTGATAATTGTGCGGGATGATGGAGCGTTACCACGCCATCGTGCACACTCATGATTCAATGAACGAGCGCGTGTGAGGGTCCAGCAACAATTTTAGAAGGCTTGAACTAGCTAGCCAAACATACGCATGTGCAGATAAAGTAGAGGACCTTAATTTTTCACTGCGCTTACCTTTATAGACTCACATCAAACTCAACAGCCTGCAACGGCAAACAATCGAAGATATACGATGAGGTCGTGTGAAGAAGTGGAGAGCAGCATCAAACGATGCTCAATTCCTTCGATGGCGCTTACACACGCGCCATCCATCATTTCTGCCCCCTCCGAGTCCGGCAAATATAGTGCGTTGCCGCTTCCGTCGAGTAATGTGCGTTGGCATGGCACTGCGCATGTTTCTGGCGTCAAAGGAACGCCTGACGTGCTAGGATGTGACACTTTCGCATGTACATGGTGGTTAATTTGAACGCTATATCGGTCATGGTGAGAGCTATGGTGGCATCCATATCGCCAGCCCTGTATAGCACACAATTGCTGTGAGATGTGACTGCACATGCGTTGATCAAGCGAAGAAGTCTCGCAAGCCCGCCCGTCTCTGTGCTTGCTGCACCCCATCTGCTGTGATGTGGTCCCCGATGTGGCGAGATGCTTCAGCTCGTCAAACGTTTGTCCTTCCACGGAGATTGAAAATCTGGTCTTGCGCTGCAGTCCACGCATTGCCGCCTCATACGATTAGCAATAAGCTTTGAGGCTATGCGCGACGACCGCCTCGCATGTAGCGAATGACGGATCAAGTGGTGCCCAGCTTGCAGCTTGCTGTCTATTTCATAGTGCTAAGCATGTTTCGACTTTCCCCATCAGCCGTGTTAGTGCTGGGCTCAGCGACTATCCGCGTGTTAGCCGATGTAGCACGCCAATGTGGAGGGCAGGTCTGCTGCCCACACGCTCAAAACCGCATACTCGGTCGCTTCATGCTGTCCGAAAACAGTAGGTCTCGATGGACACTATCGTGTGGTTGTGATGTCTCGATCGGTGCTGTCGTAACCACTCGCTATGTCTCGACGGATGATGGTGGACAGTCGTGGACCGAAAATGACCGACTATTGGTCTCAAATGGTGTGCTGGAATAGACATACCATTACACATCAACAAATTTATACCATCGCTTTTACTCTTTCCTGCCGTCCTATCGCGATTGTTTAGTTGTAGCGTATGTAGGTGTGTACTCGGGATTGTTTCCGTTCGCCTACCACCACGGGATATGCCACCGCAACAGGCAGCTTGGACCAGCTTACCAATCGAATCGTCGCCGCTCAGCGGTGCTGTAATTTGTCAGCGCTTCAGTCTAGACCAAGAATCGCTTGCTCGTCGAGCCTGTGAGATAATCCATCTTCAGCAACTTGTATTTCTTGGTAGTTTAGGGTGTTCACGCGAGATAGCCTGTGCAGGAAGAGGATGCATACGATCACAAGCGCAACACGCAGCTTGTGGCTGTCCTGAATCGCGCATCGATGCGCAAGCGATTTTTGTCCGTGATGTGCTGCGCGCTCTGTGCAGCCCATAGAACCGTCTAGAGCGAATGAAAAATCCACCACAGAATATGTTGCTTTGCACGACGTAAGAACCGTCGGAACAGCAGCGCCGACAAGGCGGGGACTTGTTTTCTAGTAGCATTGTAGCGTTCATCATTTTCCAATTCCCCCGCTAGAAGACACGACAAAAACTAACCATGAAGACCGGCCTCTTCGTGTATACTGCTCTCTTCGCCGCAACTGTAGTGCAAGCCCACGATGCGTCTCACGACGTCGTGAAGAACGTATCCCCTGATTCGAATCCCGAGTCAAATCCGGACGTGGTGAAGAGGATGCTGAAGTCGATCAAGCACAAGGACGTGATGCCGTTTCCTCAGCCAAAGCCCATCACAGTTTCCGAGATAGCGGGCGTCAAATTCAAACCTGAGCTCCACATTACTGACGGATGCGCCTCGTACCCCTTCGTGAACGCAGCTGGTGAGATTAGCGGCGGTCTCGACAATACGGGATCCCCTAATGGCATGTGCAAGGGATCTGGGTATGGGTCTCAAGTCTACGGACGCTCAGATTGGTACAACAACAAATGGGCCATCATGTTCGTCTACTACTTCCCGAAAGACTCGCCGTCTAGTCTTATCGGCCGTCGCCACGGCTTCGAGCAGGCCATTGTGTGGCTTGAAAATCCTGCCACGAGCAACGTGGTGATGGCGGTTTCGTTGTCGGAAGGCCATGAGTTCTCGAAGACGGTTGGACCAGACTCGAAATTTCTGAACGGGACGAGTGTCAAACTCAGCTATGAGAAGTTGGGTGGCAAAGGCACTCACGGGCTCAAACTCACTGAGACGCCTGGTGATTCTCTGCCACTGATCATGTGGGAACAGCTGACGCCAGAGGCTCGCGATGCGGTGAACGCGTTTGAGTCGGATGGAGACAAGGTGCCCTTCAGTGAAACTCAGTTTGCGAAAGAGTTGGAAAAGGCTTGGCCGTTCAAATAATGATTTTATCTGGTGAATGCGCCTTCCGCAAAAACATGTTTGTACACCTAGCACGCGCGCTCGTGTTGTGGGCATTCAGGTACGTTTTCTTGTAGTCATTACACGGTAAAAGGAGCCCTCTGTGTCAAGCAGAGCGGCTCCTGGTAATCAAGTTTGCACTGATTGTTGATCTTCTTGATACATTACACTTTTTGGACTATCATGAACAACTGGTTGAGCCGTTTATCCGTAAATTATAGCGGCAGGTGACAAAGCAGTACAGTAAACTAGTGCAGATTTTTGGTCCGGAGCGCAAAGCTCACACACGAGGGATATGATCACGCGTCAGGTGTAGATCGTGCTGATGCTATGATATCGCCCCTTTGTTTTTCAGATGCTGAGTCATACACGGTGAGCTCAAACAACGTCCAGATAGAAATGATCAATTCATGTACGTATGAACTTCACATCCCGACGAGTATTTTAGCATGTGTTACACTTTTCGCCAGGCCTTCGACTTGTATAGTGTCAGTCTACAACCAACACGAAAACTCTCTCTTTGCACAAATCAAAGGGATGGTTGATAATATTTTCATTTAATTGTAAACAATCACAGGATTACGTTATTTTAGCGAGATATTGTTGCAAAGAAGGTAAAAACCGAAGTGAATAAGTAGAAGGTCCTTAGTTTACTACCCTTAGCTAAGTCTAAGCCTTTATGTTACGACATCCTGTGATCTCATCATGTAACCGCGATCCAAAACCTTCTTCCGTAACCAACAACATGAAACACCCTGACACAGAAATCATCATCATGAACCCAACATGAAACGACTGCATGAAGCGGCGTATACTCAACACTTCCAGTCGCCGCTACTGTGTGTAGGTCTTGTAAACTAGCTTGGTCTTGATCCCGGTTGCCTCGCACACAAATTTTAGTATCTTGGTTCCGAGTGCCTTTGTAAGCATATCCGCGAGTTGATTTTTTGTGTCGATGTAGACGATCTTCAAAATTTCGTCTTGCACATTTTCGCGAATGAAGTGATGTCTTATGTCCACATGCTTTGTCCGAGCGTGGTGTCCGGCATTGTTGGCCAAAGCAATCGCTCCTTGATTATCTTCCAAAACTTGTGTGCCTCCCACTTGTTCGTGACCCATGTCCTTAAGCATTCCACGCGTCTTATAACTTTTTGGCTGCAAAGACTGAGCGCCATATATTCAGCTTCCGTCGAGCTGAGCGCAACCATTCGCTGGTTATTCGACTTAAATACCACTGGTGCGCTTGCAATTATGACCATAACTCCTGAGAACGAACGTATATCATCGCTGTTGCTGCCCCAATCAGCATCCGAGTACGCCTTTACCCCAACACTTTCTGTTCCTGGGTAGACGATATCTGTTTGGTGTGTGGTCTTCAGATTATTAAAACGCGAATAGCTGCACTCCAATGTTATAATCTAGGTTTATCCAGAAAACGTGATAGTTGTGTCACCGCTTACGCAATATCCAGCCTAGTACATGTTGTAATGTATTGTAGGCATCTGATGAAGGAGCCATACGGCTTCTAGCGCATTGCCGAACGTCTTTCTTCCGTCGTAGGTGACTGTGCAGATGATAAAGGTATTCCTACATCGCATTGGTTGTTTAAACTCTTGGCACCTTTTTGGCCGAATTGCTTGACCACGTCGTCGATATAGCGAGTCTGCTTGATCATGAGTGTCCTGGCAGACCTGTCGTGGTTGATCTCCATACTTAAAAGGAACTACGCTTTTCCCACTTCCATTATCTTGAAAGCTTGTTTAAGCACTCCCTTGACTTGATTGTTTTCCTTGCTTGTTCTTGCTCCGATGATCATGTCATCAACATAGAGTCCACCATAAACAAGATTTCCCCGGGAGCGCTTGACATAAACACACTGGTCCTCTCCGCAGCTCTTGAAGCCGTTCTTCACATAAACATTATGTATTGTTTTGTTCCATGCACTTGCTGCTTGTTTCAGTACATAGATGGCCTTGTTAATCTGAAACGCTTTCCCTTGAGCATTGGTGACACCGAGCGGAACTTCCATATATACGTTGTCCGTCAGCACATTGTTAAAAAAGGTTGTATCAAAGTCCAGCTGTTCCATTTGGTAGTCACATTCAGCACACGCATCATAAATTTTCGGATTAAATTCATGTTGGCGACCGGAGAATAAGTTTCGAAGAAGTCGACACCGTACTTCTGTTTAAAACCTTTCGCTACTAGTCGTGCTTTGTATCGCACGACAGCGTTATTCTGATCACGCTTCTTGGGAAAGACACACTGTGATCAAATCGTGCGACTGATATTCTTTCGTGGATTCAATGTCCACCTTTCATTCTGCTCATGGGAACGTAGCTCCGTAATCATGACCTCATGCCACTTTTGTAACGGGGCACTGTTGACTACGTACTGGTTGACTAGTACGGAGTATACTTTTACTGACTAAAGTGGTAGACAGTGCCGTGCTAGGTGTTGAAGGAACACAGAGGAAAGAAAGGAGACTAAGTAGTCAGACCAGTCTCTGGTATAAGTAAAACTGTATTAATATATTAAGTCCTATAATTTCTTGAATCTCTGTTGTCCTAACTTAATTATACCAATATAACTAAACGTTAATGACGTCTACTCACCGCCCATTGCGCGCGTCTAGCAGCGATTGGTGGGTCGATATCATCACAATATTATATAATGAGTAGACCCTTCGGTCGACCCATCAATATCACCATGTCTGTCATATTGTTAGATGAAAATTCGATGTAACATTCTTTATTGTCAGATTGTTTTAATGAAAATCTCATGTAACGGGCTATCCCGTTACATCACCCCTCCCTTATCTGATAGTCACCGTGTGACTATCAAAAACTTGGTATCCACCCGTTGGACACCAGTGGGACAGGGAGCGTTTTTTTGGTCAGACCCATTCACTCCTGACCTTGCCTCGCACAGTTAACATTTCTATGCGAGGTGATTCGAAGACCACACAGCCTGCTGCTGTGCCAGCCTCTGCGGCAGACGCTTCTTCGCCTGCTGCTTGTTCTTTGTCTGCAGCAGAAGGTGCTGCAGGCGCACGCGGTATCGCACCACGTGCACATGATGAACTTGTCAATGTGGTCATCAATTCTGGCGAGTCAGACGTGCCTGACTCGAGCAACGTTCCAGAGGCGTCCCGATCACCGGCGGTGCCTCATAGTTCGTCAAGAGCACTGTCGAACAAGAGGACTCGTGAAATGCAACACTGTCTGTTCGGCAGTGATGATGAAACGATGGTGAGGAATACTATGCCTTACCAGTATCAACTCGTGCTTCCCCGCAAGAGCGTGATGGCAATGGCGAGAGCCATCGTCATTCTGAAAGCCGTGGTACAGAAAATGGGTACCACATTGAAGCGTGGTGAGCTCAAGCCGTGGTGCTTGCCCGATCAGCTCATCGATAGCCTGTCTCACGAGACAAGCCAGCACCATCGAATTTCTTTATTCGATGCAACTGAGCTTCATGGCTTAAGTTCTAGCGCGAGAAACTTTCGCGCTGAAGAAATTTTTTATCTCGATGCCTTCCTTAGACATCGATGGTATAACGGCAACCAAAAGCGTGACAAGAACTCGCTTTTGGCAGCGTGGAACGCCTTCGTCCACAATGTCAAGAATTTTATACGAAAAGGGTGGTTTAATAAGCTTGAAGAGGTACGCCTCAAGTTCGAAAAGCGAACGCCAACCGGTGCTAGGTACCGGTTGCATTGTTTGTCGAGTGAGGCAGACATTCAATGCCTCACTTGGGGTGATCCTTGTGCGAGCTGTGTAGACAACTCGCAACGTGCACATAGGGACGTGTATTTCCTAAGATCGCCCTGGGGAAGGGCACACATCTTGACTGAGATGCGCAACGCGATCGCAAATTTGCAATCCATCTACAAGCGCCAAAAGCGCGTGTTTACCGATGAGCCCTCGGACCAATCGGATGTGTCTCGTCATACTGGTGGACGAGACCTTCAACGTCAGCCATCAGCTGGGATAGAGGTTCCCAGCTGTCATACGATGGTGGGTACCCACGCCACCGGACGAGGTAACTTGTCCTTCATTCTGAATCGCCACGGTGGTTCAAGATACGCTCCACAAGAAAGCGTAAAACCACCGTGAGAATCCACTAGTGGTTACGGTGCGGGTGGAAAGACAAGGTCCGGATCAGCCGCCGGGCCTGCACGAGACTTTGGGTAAGCACGAGCGTTACCTGTCCGAGCTGAGGGAGGACGTCGAGCACGAAAGCAACCGATGGTACGCCTTGCAGTCGAACGTGCGACGTCTTTGTGCCGATCGGGAGAAGGATCGTGTGCGCAACGAGCTAGAGGCGGCTAGTTGCGAGACCGCGTTGCTGAAGGACCAACTTCAGAGTTTGGTACGTGATCACAAGAATCTGTTGGGGATTCTTAAGCCCGCCGGTTATCTCCATTCTCGCAAGAGGCCTCGTACTGATGGTACGGGCTGAGACGACCAACATAAAACGTAGGATGCGTGCGCATCCTACGAGACGATTCGATCGTGTATGCATTTCTCTTGCGGTGCAACACACGAAATGGACCAATGTACTTCGGAAGTAGTTTACTACTGCCGACATTAGTGACTACATGTCCAGGTAAATATACCGTAGACAGTAGTACTAGGTCATTAACTTTAAATTAAAGAACATTCGCTCTTCTATTCTTGTCTGCGTTCCGTTTATGGCGGTCCACAGCATCTATGATGAAGTCCTGAACGAAACGGACTACCGCCTCTCGAGTCAGCAGGAAGTTCTCTGCTGACTCGTTGTTGTGTTTTTCAGTGCGCTTCGTGCGCACTGCTGAAGATCGTTCACTTCTTCAACGACTGTGTCTTCTTTCTCGCTGGCATTGTCGCTGACGATGCTGAAAATCCCAGCATCGTCAACAGTGTCTGATGAAGCAGCAGCGTCATCGCTACTGCAAAGCTCGATTTACTCGATGTCGACGTTGGCGACATCGGCATCAA